CATTTGAAGTCTTTATCTTTATGTAAATTGGTTTGACAAAAAATATCTTTTTGTTGACTTTAAAAATGACCTGTAATGTCTTGGATCATATCTCTCAAATGAAGCATTTTTGGCCTTGAGCTTAGAGACAAAGTTGTAGAGAATTGGATTTCCTTCAAGATGAGCATTGGTTGATAAATTTCTGATGAAGTATGTGAAAGTTATGCTTGGTCAAAGTTCAGTTGACTTCTCCTTAAGAAAACTCTAATTTAGTAACTTTTGACTTTTGATGAGTCTTAAGTTTTCTTGATGAATCATGATCAACCCTTGATAAAATGATGAATATGACTTCAAAATTTTGATATTGACCAAAAATCTTGAAGTTTGACTGTAGATTGTCAAAGTTGACTTTTTGTCCAATACAATTGATTTTTAATCATCTGACTAATTGACTGAGCAAACTTGTGATGTAAGTCTTGAAATTTGGTATAAGGATACTTTGAGGCATGTGAGAAACCATGAAATCCACTTGAAGCATTAGAAACTTAATTTCCTTTGAGATAAGAAAAACCCTAGTTGTAGGTCAATTGCTTAGGATGGGAGTTTGTTTTGTCAACCCTTGAGTAGTCTTGAGTGTTTGAGACTTTCATGAGCATGAAGAGGTTTCTTGAATCAATTTGTCTCAAACTTGGGAGGAAAAAATTTGGGATGCAACACCTGCTCATGTTATGAGTACTAGAAACCTCCAGAATCTCATGTTTTTCAATCAAATCTTCAAGGAAATAATCTAGTTGTACTGTCATGATGTTCTGTTACAACATCTAATAGAACATATGTCAAATAAGTAGCAGCAGACTCTACTATATCAGCTGGTCAAGATGGTATGACATCTTGTTTAATCATTAGGCTGCAATACATGTTTTCCCAATGAAACGTGTTTTGATAAAATTGTTGTCAACTACTTGTTTTACCAAAAAAATTGCCAACCATAAAATCACAGACCTAACAACAGGTACTTCTTCTTCTCATAGTTAGCGACCATGACTAATATCATTTCTACGTTGAACCTATTGATGTAGGATCACATCGACTTTTATTTCCCTTGTCTGGTGGATTTCATGCTTTCCAATGACTTAGGTTGCCTTCTTGACACTATAAAGTACACAGAAGGAATCTCTTTCTAGTTCCAATACTTTCAATGAATTTGGACCTTGTGAAGTGCTTGTTTTACATACACTTGACGTTGTCGAGAATTAAACCCATGTTAGCGGAAGTTTGAGATCCATTAGAAAAGATAAAGGTGAGACACTACGATCCTACCTCTAGAGTTTCAATGGATAAGCGATAGTAGTCATTGGCACCTACGAGAAATTGAAGTAGTACATGTTAAATCTAAGACTCCAGCAAAGGTCCAAATTTGCCGAAATTATCGGAATAAAGGCCAAAATATTCATACAATATGAAGTAACGTTGGCCATCAACAAGACAATTTATGAAAGAGGGTTTGAGAAGGAAGCAACAAGCATAATAGGAAAAAAAGAAACCAAACAAGGAAACAAAAAGAGGTGGTGACAAAGCCAAGAAATATTCCCGCATCAACCAAGAGGCCAAGGGAGCACTGCCACCCGATACAGAGTTTATACGTTATTGAACATATCAAGAGAATGCATTTTCCAAGAATGCATCAACACGAAGTTTAGAGAAGAACAAGTTGAAACACCAAAACCACTTTGAGAACGTCCAGGAGTGGATAAATCTTGATATTGTCACTTCCACGTGTGTAACGTTCATAACAAAAAAGTATTCATATAATATGAGGATGTTGTCGAATATTTAATTAAGAATGGAAATGTGTCCAAATTTTCCCCCAAAACAAAATCAAATCTAAGAAAAAGAGGCAGGAAGAAAATATCCACTAAATGAGAATGAGTGACATAGTCCAACTGACTAAAAAATTAGAGACATTCGGACCATTGAGAAGGAAATAAATCACTAATTGCATACACCATCGCAGGGAAGACATTCAGCGAATTAGAAGGACTAATCATCTTAATGGTTATTGATGAGGAGCCACAATAATTATGGGAGAAACTACCTATCAACATCAATACATACTCAATATGTGCAGATGGGGAAAATATTAGAAGTGACCAACTAAATGAGACCCTGCATGAAAAAATCACGTTGGTCGTGACTGGGGTAGTTTCAGAAGGGTTCCCTCATAAAAATTTTAATATATTAAATTAGACTAAAATACTTAACAAGACATTGAAGAGTAGCTTATAAAAGAAACATTAAAATATAGATTTTAATCCAAAGAGGAGAGATAATGTAATTTATTCATCTTTTAGGGAGGATGGTGCAGTTTTTTCTAATATGTTTTGTCGAAGAATGGATGTGAATGAATAATTTGTTCACCTTTAAGGGATATTTGATTGCATGAGTGCGCGTTCAAAACCCCAACGTCTTACTTATTCACTTTTAAAGAGTTGGTAAAATTCTAACAACTAGACTACTAGACCCAAAAAAATATGAGAAGAAGATAATGTAAGATGATCATCTCTCATGAGAGAAAAATATAACAGGGGAGAGAATGTGTATTTTAACACAAAAGTGAATGATAACGTAATATGAATATCTATCCAAAGATAAGAATGTAATATATTTTGCATAAGAGTGGAGAAAAATATATATTTTAACTCAAGATGGAACGGTATTGTAATATAAATATCTCTCATAAAAGAAAAGTACAATTTACTCAATGTTTTATATGATATTTTTTAATTAATAATTTTTTGTTTTAAAACTAGTGTTTCTTTTGTAAAACAAACTTACTTTAAAATAAGTGTATTTTCATTTTATCAGCACATCATTAATTAATTTTACTTTTAAATGTATAGTATATGATAGTACAACTTCAAGGATACTAGGGTTTCGTACAACCCATCCATACACATATTTTTCAAATAATCTTTATGAATACACTAAAGTATGAATATCACCTAACATCATTTTGGAAACAATTAGAGATGTCAATAGGGGCGGGGGATACATTTTCATTTCAATTCTCTCCCTCGAATTTATTTCTCATTCCCGTATCAGATCTCCGCCACGGGGAATTTTATCCCCCATCTCTGTCCCCACGAATCCCTACGGTTTTTGCGGATATCTATAAACATAAATTTTTATTTATTATTTTTAATTAAATTAATAGAAAAAATTCAAAAACTAATTACAAGAAATTAATAAATTAATGATCTATGATAAATATATTATTTTAACAATATTTAATCTTGAGATTCATTAACACAAAATTTTAAAACTTTAAAAAAATTAAAATAGTCATTTAGATCTCTCTCTTTTACTAACATTACATATATGTTTTACATTTGTTTATTAAAAAGTTATTTGAAATGATAAGTAAACTTACATAGAAATGTTAAATTATATATTAATTAATGATATTATGGAATTCTAGTGCGGGTCGGAGACTCCACAGGACGGGGGATATGTTCGACATTCTCATCCTCAAAGTGCCTTCGGAAAAACATTATTCCCCGTTTCCGCGGGAAAAAAATTCTCCATCTTTAGAATCCCAAACGGAAAATTCCTGCAGAAATTCTCACTAACAGATACAAATTGACATCCCTAGAAACAACTCTTGCAAAATGCTAAGAACTCTTACTATGTGTAGTTATACAAAACATCATCAAATTTCTAAATGAAATCATTTAAAAAAAGAGAAAAGTTATACAAAACATCATCAAAATTCTAAATGAAATTGTTTAAGAAAGGAGAAAAGTTCTTAGTGACAATGAATGTTTTCCCTTTAGGTTTTAAACTTTATCATTCTATTTTGAACCTCAATATTTTTTTAGGTAGTGTTTTAAAATTGAATGAATTCAGATTTAAATCTTGAACGAAATACTTTTTTTATAGTATTTCAAGCACTCTCGAGTATCTCAGACTTTTGATGGAAGAATATCCAGGATAATTCAGTCTTCTCGAATTTGTACAAGACGGATAAAAACTCAAATGTATTGAAGAGTATCTGGAATTTACTCTAGAGGATATGCGTTTTTTGTTGTTGAATTTCTGAATCTGGAATAAAGTATTTATAGGCCACATTAGTATTGTTGCACATGGTAGCGACCCTTGGTGAAACAATTTCTTTTTAATAATGTAATTTTCTTATAATTTCAACAATCGAGTTTTTGGCCCGTTTGTTTTGATTTTTTTTTAAAATGATTTTTACAGTATTATATAATTTTGTATAAAAAAATTTATAAAAAAAACTTTTCATAAAAGCTTCAAATAAAAATTTGTTTGAATAGTTATTTTTAAATGTAAATTTAGATATTTCAATATTTTATTGAAATTTTTTTGGATATCAAAATTTAAAAAAAAAAATCATTTAATTTTAAAACTATTTCAAATAGTTTTTCATAAAAATTATTTTGAAATACAACTTTTTAAAAATATAACAATTTCGATTATATTTTGATCTTAAATAATGTATGTTTATGTTATAGAATGTCAAAATTTGTCTTTTAATTTAAAAAAAAAATTAATATAATTTTTTTTAATATTTTAAAAAATAATATTATAAAATTCATTTTTTAAAATGAAAAAATCTATTTTTAATTATATTCTTAAAATATAGCATGTAATGGTCATTCGATATGATTTATATATTCTTTCTTGAAAAGAACTATTGTGGTTCTTCAAATAACTAGAAACTATATTTTAGATTAAAGAAATTATCAAACATCTTTATCACATTTTGGAAACATTCTCAACTCATTTTAAAAGCATGTCCTAATTTAACTCTTAAATGACTAAATAGATGGATGACTAATTGTTCTTACAATTAGCCAAATATTAAAGATATTTATTGTACAATATGTATTATCAAATCAAACTCTTCTCTATTCTTATTTTATATATCTTGTATGATGGTCGCTATAAACAGTTTCTAAGGTTCCAATTTCATGTTTAACTACAATATTCTTAGTTCTCCAATGACTAAAACTAAATCATTCATCTTGATTTTCTTTCTTTGTGCACAAATTCTATTTGTTATTACAATTGAATCGTCTAAAGATGGAAATCAATGTATGTATATAATTTGTAAGCGCCATTACTTTCTTACTTTATTATGTTTAATACAAAGTATTTGTTAATTTGTAGATGGCGCAATAGAAGAATCTAAAAGAAAAATTGGGATGGGTGGTTGGGGAGGCTGGAAAGTCATGGGAAGAAGAAAAAATGATAATGGAGGAGAGAAAGAAGATGGAAAGGGCGAAGAAGTGCACGAAGAAGGTGAAAAAGACGGCGAAAGTGGAAGAGATGAAGAAAGTGAAAAAGACAATGAAAATGAACAAAGTCCTGGGGGTGCAGGAAGTTGGGGTTGGGGAGGTAACATTAAAAATGGATATGGACAAAGTGGTGGGCGTCCGGGAAGTTGGGGTTGGGGAGGTTTATTTGACAGTAAATATTGATCAACATTACTCATTATATCACGTATATTTAGGGGTGTTTAAAACTAAATTGGCCCAATAAAAAATCGCATAATTGAATCGAACTAAATTGAAATCACAAAAAACAGTATTTGATTCAAATGTGTTTGAGTCATTTTTTAACAGAACTGTGCGATTCGGTTCAGTTTACCGTTTGTATTTTACAAATCAAATTAAACCAAACAAAAATGTATTATATTATAAAATTTTACTAACCAATATTTTTTTTTTATTTCTTTAGAGAAATCAATATGTATTATGTGTATGTTTTATCATATTTTATATGATATTTATTTTAATTTATAAATCATAAAAAATAAAATATTATTTATTTATAAATACTATTTTCACAATATATTTTATCGTACTCTTTGTATAATATTTATTTAAGAATACAATCTTGTCTATATCATTTTTTAGATTTAGATGAAATTATAATACACGATTTTATGTATCAAATTATAAATTTATTTTGACAATTATAAATATTTTTATAGTAATGTATGAACAATTAAACACAAAATTATATTTTTCTCTATAAATGTATGTATGGCTTAATAATTTTTTTGTAAAAAATTGAACTATCCGAACTAATCTAAATCGCATTAGTTCGGTTCAGTTTATTCGGATTTATTTTTAAAAGCCAATCAAATCAAACCAAACTGCATATTTTTTTCTTCTTGCAGTTTGGGTAAAATAATTTCTTCAAAACCATCTAAATCACACCGTAAACATCTCTATTTATATTACTCATAAAATCATACACATGTTGTGTATGGATTTTGATCTTACCGGATCAGAGTTGGACCGTCACAGTTGGCTTCGGGCTGAACTTGAATGAGATGGGGGATACCTGCAAGACACTCTGATGGTAAAGTGAGAAGCGAAATGAGCAAGGAAGTATGAGTTTGAGATGTGTGAATCAATACCTGACCCTCTTGTGAGAGGGTATTTATAGCCCCCAGCATTGAGCCAAGGTCCCCACTATTGAGCCATGCAAAGGCCCAATAACGGGAACTGCCAGGGTTTACCTGTGTATGGAGTCCAGCAAGTGGACTCCCCCCTGGTCAACTGCTCTGCGAGAATAGAGCTGGACCCGAGATTCCCGGAGGGCAGTTTGGGATGTCTGTCAAGAGGTCGTGGGCCACGTCCCCCAACGGTTGGATGTGGAGTTGCCCCACAGTCCCTAACTTGGGTTGTCTTTGGGCTTCTCGCTCGTAGGGAAAATATAGGCCCAGTCCACATCAGGAGCCCCCCAAGTTATTGTCCTCGAGCTAGAGGGCGATGACTTGAGTTCAGCTATCGCTACCGAAGACTTGGTCGAGATAGAGGGCCAAAGTCCCCGAAGGAAGCGGGTCGTTGCCCGCGGGGGGGGGGGGGGGGGGGGGGGGGCAGGCTCGAATACGTCGGGGAATATCATGGATAAACGGGGATCAGGATCGAAGGGTTCAACCGCTTGCTCGAGAGGACATATTGGTGGCGGGGAGCCTCTGTGAGGTTCCCTTTGATATGCCCGTCTCATGGGTGTTGTTAGTTTGTCGAGCATTTCCTCGTCCTCGAGATGGTTAAATAGATGTGCCCCTTCGTGCACTCTAGTGCCGAGCACTTCCTCGGGTAAGTGTTTTCCCCGCACGTTTGGGGGTGACATGTAGGAGTCGGGCGCATGCTCGCTAGTCCAGAAGAGACTTCGTGGTTGATAGTTGAGCCACGTGGCTAGTGCTTTGGGGTGTCACCCCTTCAAGGATAAAGCAAAAGGGGCCAATGAGGTGATGACCCTTCATGTGGGATCCCTTGGGGCGTGGGTCGCCTATAAAAAGGGGCCCCTTGGGACTCATTTGTCACCTTCTCAAGTTTCCTCTTAATCTTTTCTTTGCTCGTGGCGTGAAGTGGTTCTCTCAACCTCTCAGTTTTTCTTCGCTTGTGGCGTGAGGCGATTCTCTCAACTTTTCATTTTTTTCCCTCCAAGTTCTTCATCCAAGTAAGTTATAATCTCCCAACACCATGTTTCTTGAGCTTTCCTAGATTAAATGTCAAAAATTTGTCTTGATTGGATGAACATTCATGAGTTTTGTGATGAATGTTCTAGAATGTTCATCTAAGTTCATGGGTTCCGTGTCGAGAACTCATGAATGTGCCGGGCACCTATGAACAAACATTCATGAGTTTTATGAATATTCATTAATGTTCATCTGAGTTCATGGGTTCCGTGTCGAGCACTCATGAATGTGTCGGGCACCTATGAACATTCATGTTATAGTGTCGGGAGGATTCCTTAGGTTAGTATGTATCCAGGTTTTTGCTCGGCGAGTGATTCCCCGACTACAATGTCCTCGGAATGTAATGGTCCGCTTTAGCATGTCGAAGGCTTGGGTCGAGTTCATCGCCCTTTCACTTGATCTGCGGTGGAAGGGTGGATTTGATAATGTCGAATTCACTAACTTCCCCTGCTTTTCAGGTACAATGGCACGCTGCCGACGGGGAGACATTCTGGCCGCCCATCACGAAGACAAACCCCGTAGCTATGAGGACCCTTTGGCTTGGGTTGCTCCGGAGCCCGGGGATAAACGGTCGTGCTTTTTGCAGGATGCGACGGACGCGTTCAACTGTCCGGAGGAACACACAGAAAGGGCTCCGGCCAACTGGATGCTTCAAATTCCCCATCGGGACCGAAGGATATGCTCGACGTATTCGGGAAAATGGTTCCCCATGTGCAAATTTTCTTTTAAAGAGGCGGGGATGCGCCTGCCCTTCAACGATTTCCAGGTCGGGGTTTTCCAATGGCTTCAGTTGGCGCCTTCCCAACTCCATCCAAACGCGCTGGCGTTTATGCGGGCGCTCGAGCTCGTCTGCCAAATACCTAGGGATAGGCGCCACGCTTCCCCTTTTCTTCCATATCTTTCATCTGCAAAGACAATCTGTCCAAGGGAGACAGGCGTGGGTATCCTTCAAGCAGTTCGGGAAACTCTTTCGGCCTTATCTGGAGTCCGTCTGAAATTTTAAAGAGAGGTACTTCGTCGTGAAGCCTCTGACGAACGCGACCATAGATTCTCTCTATACCCGCGTGGAAGAGGTGGAGAACAGGCGGCCAGTTACTCGACTTATGGCCCGATTCCCGCTCGAATGGCAGTGGAGGCATTACGAGCAAAGGCCCGAATACTATGCGATGAAACCCGAGGACTTGGATGCCCAAGATTAGCTTTCGTACGAGAAGCTGTCGAATTATGTTAAAGGTTTCTCCCCCGCGAAGTGCGTTGATGTGAACGGAGACCTATTGCTTGACGAGGAGGGGGAGTATCTCTTAGTCAATAGGTTGATCAATACTAAGGCCTTGCTCGAGTGCTCCTCGAATGGGGAAGCCATGATGCTTTTGGGTAAGGCGTAGCTGTTTATTTGCTCCTTTTATAAGCAGGAACGTGTCCGCTCTGTTTTTTATTTTTCCAACTCGACTAACGATTCTCTTTGATTGTAGGTCGAATGGCGTCTCTTTCCGAGCATTTGTTGAAAATGAGGCCCAAAAATGCATCCACTTCTGGACCACGAAGCAGAGTCGCCCAACTTCAGGAGCAGGCCAAGTTTATCGGTCGGGGCAGTGGTTCCCCCTCCTCCTCGAAAAATCCAGCTTCTTCTGATCCGGCCCAGATTCTGGTCAACGAGCCCGTGGCCAAGAGGAAGCGTGCATATAACGCTGCGGGTGTATCATTCGAGGGTGACAAAACGTCTGCGGCGGTTTTCGTGGTGCCTCTGTGGTATCTAAACTGCGACCTCTTCCGCGAGGGGGACTCCCTCGGCGTGCACGAGGAGGAGAGGGAGGCCATTTTGACTTAATACAAAGAGCTTCGCCAGAAGCACTTGGCCGAGGACGTGGCTTCTGTGATGAGGGTGCTCGAGACGGCCCTTTCGCTCAACGACGAGTCCTCTAGTGCTCAAGCCGCTCTCGACGCGGCCTACGCTAAAATCCACAAGATGAAGGTCAAGAATGAGAAGTTGAAGGGTGATATCCTCAATCATGAGTCAAGATCCGAGGCCCAAGTTCAGCTTCTCAAGGATTTAAACGAGTTGAGACCTCAGCTGGAGACAGCCACAAGGGAGAACGAGCGTCTGGTCGCTCTTAATTTGGAGCTAGAAGGGGTGACCGCGTCAGCCGAGGATGAGACCGAGACGGAGAAGAACATGGCGACCAGGGTGGATTTGATTGCTCGCATCCACTTGCTCGAGCAAGACGTGGTTGATACTCTTGGATACGGCTTCAACATTGTCGTCGAGCAATTGAGGATCTTGAATCCTGGGGTCGAGTTAGTGGTCGAGGGGGCGGGGCCATTTAACCAAGTTGTTGACGGGAAGATCCTTTATCCCCCGAGTAGCAGCGACGGGGAGGATGAAGTTTGATTGTGTTCAGTTCTGGGCCTACGCGTCCGTTGTTGTTTTAGGGCCTGCGTGCCTGCTATCATTCTTTTAATTTTGAGGCCGTCGTGCCTAAATTGTAAATTTGAACAACGTCAGCCCTTGTGGTCGGCATATTATAAATGTGTTATCTATTAATTGTTTCTTTAAGTAATTGATAACTTTTGGATGTACGTGCCCGACCATTGTTGTGGTCGTTATGAATATTTTCACGAAGTTCGTGTTCGCATGGAGATGCCTGTTTGACCCTAATGTCGGTTCGATACACTTCGAAATGTGTCGAGGTAGCGGAGTGGCTATCCGCGGGACATGCATATGATCGCGATCGGGATCCTACACTCGTGGCGTGAACTGCCCATCGCGAGTTGGGTGTTCTGCCATGTTGGGGTACTTCGATAGCGGAGCTCGATCGAGGTGTCCCTGTCGGGCAAGGATGTTTCTCGTCAATGTGAGCAACATTATGCTTTCGTTGGTTGGTAGGCTGCGTCCGTACCTCGACACGCCTACATGGTCGAGATTTTCCCTTTGTCGACTAAAGGTGAATATTCAACAACGAAAGTCCTCAGCTGGTGAGGGACTTT